TGCCAGTCTAGCATTCCCGACTGGAGCACTCTTACTTATTTCAGTTTCGCAAGGGCAGCTGTCCGGATCTGAGGAATTTTTGCGTGGCCCGAAGACTCAATGCAGGCTGAAAGCTTCTAAGTTGGCATTAAATTACATACAGGGGAAGTAGAGGACCGCAGGCGGGAGACGGGCGGGAGTAAACAACATGCACGCAGTTCATTTGCGGTTGGCAGCAACAGCCCAAGAATTTCAATGGAGTCAACGACAACAGCAACAACAACAACAACAACAACAACCACTGTTGCTGCTGTTCGAGTGGCAGCCGGGGAGTCTGTTTTTGGACCAGGCTGCAGCGGAGCGCCCGCCGGCCTGGCAATGGGAACGAGTCTTTTGTGACCTCAAAATTTTCGTGGCTTGAATGTCGCTTTGTCTGTGGCCTGCAACAAGAAACAAAAGTGAAATTTCTCTCGTGTGGGTTCAGAACTAGCCACAAAAATAAAAAAAAAGCCAAAGCTCAAAATAAGATCCAAACAAAAATGAAATCGAAGCGGCAGAAGAGTTAATTTGGCCGACAGGCAAACGGCACTTGGCCAAAATGCATTTTCACTTGGCCTGTTAATGAATTAACAAGCCAAAAGCTCATAAAGAAATGCCCAATATGCCCATGGCAATGGCCAAAGTGCAGGCCTGGGAGCCGCTGCGCTGTTGGCCTCGAACAATGCAAAAGGTGAAACTCTTGCACCTGTCGCCTGTCAAGCGCGGTCCCCTTTATGCCCCGAAACCCCCACCCCTGCATATTGTGAGCGTTGCAATTATTTGTTATAATTTCTGTTGAAAAAATGCAAAGCATTGACGGTTGGCCAACTACAGCTAACAACAGCCAAGAGAGCTGCAGCTTCTCCGGGACTTCAGTCAGGCGGCGCGAGTTCAAAGACAGCGCAAACAATTTAGCTGGAATCTGGCTAGAATTTAGCGCTGACTGGCGGCATTGTTGCTGTTCTTGTTGTTGTTGTTGGTATTTCTGTTGGCCTGTTGGCATTAATTAATTGCAGAGAGGCCGCCGCGCGTCGTGTGTGAGAAACGAGTTCGACGGCAAACTTAGAAAACTAATGAGCGTTAAGAGTTTTGTGCTTGAGCATTGGAAATGAAAATGAAACAGCAAATGAAGGCAAGAAACACGCTAAACACAATAGAACAATGCGCACAAAATACCCTAAATTGCGGCGAAGAAACGCCATAAATATAACATAATTCTTGATATATTTGTGAGCTGAAAGGTTTATCCAAAATTTACTTAGGCATTAATCAACTCAACCTATTTACGCTTAAACTTTTTGGGAATTATAAGCAACTGCCCGGTCTAAATGTCATCTGTGTTTTCTGTCTACAGTATATCCTGAGCTGAGCCCCAAAAACCATTTGAGAAGTATATTGAAACTTTAGAGTTGAGCTCTCGTGCACTCCCTTTCTATTTACAGGGTATTGAAAAAGGAGGCGTTAGCTTGACGCCGCCCTAATTGCGCAACAATGGAGAGCTGAGCTGAGCTGAGATCTCGGGAACTGTTTGTTGATCTCTTTGGCAAAATATGTGTTCATTTCCGTGGGCAAAACGAAAGCGAACAGTGGACAGTTCACGGAAATGAAGCAGCAATTAAGAGCCATGGCCAACACACCGGCTTGGCCAAGTCAGATCAAAGTCTGGCTGCATAGCTACAACAGCCACAACAGCTCCACAAACCAAATGCTTCACGCTGACCACTTGAACTTTACATCATGCAGGGCTAAATGAAATGAAAAACAACAAATTCCAATGCAGCGCGTCAAGTGTTTTGGCTGATTCGACAGAAAGAGAAAAAAAAAAAAACAAAACTAAACACATTAAAAGCGGCAGCTCGCGCAACTCTTACATCTAAAGCCAAAATATTTTGTATCTATGCATTTGTTTCTGTGGAAATCTGCGCATTCATCTGAAAGCAAACAAAAACCACATTGAAAAAAAAAATGAAGAAAAAAAAAACAAGAAACAAAAGCCAAGCGACCTTCGTCAACCTGGGCTTCATTACAGTTGGTTTTTGTCAGTGCTGCAAGTGGGCGTGGCTGCAATTAATTTGATTGCAGCCTATAAATAGCTAAGGCTTGCAGTCGTCTACTAGCCACGCCCACAAAGTAGGCGACGCTTGGAATGCGCCTAATCGATGCAAAAATCGCCCCAAAACTTGTTCTAAGCCAAACCAAGAGAGAGACAGAGAGAGAGAGAGAGAGAGATAGAGAGAGAGAGAGAGAGAGAGAGAGCGCGCGAAATGCAGATGGGCTATAAGTGCCTGCCTCACAGCCTGCCCGCCTGCCTGGACCACCATCAATGGATGTGGCCATGGCAGATGGAGTCTTCTCTAATAACTGGAACTAAAGCATGCGCCGCAACGGCATGGGGCACGGCCATACGGCAATTAGCGTTTGCTCACAGAATGCCACAAAAAATATGATAGAAAAAAAATGTGTATAGAAAAATGTTACAAATACTCAAGCGTACGTATTGTAAGAAAAAAAAAACCGCGTCGCTGAGCGGTTCAATAACCTGCCAATCGGTAATCGGCAATCGGCAATCGATCGGCGAGTATCGATGATGATCGATAAAACTTTGCAGCGCCGCAGACACGCCCCCTTTACAGGCGTTTACAGTTCGCAACATGCAAAAGACAATGATTAATCAACAAAGTCAAGAACCCAATAGAGCCCCAAAAGCAGGCGAAGAGTAAAAAAGAAAACAAAAGAAGAAGACGAGCTGCCGTTTTGAGGTTATGCGCATTGCACACTGATAAGGTCGTAACTGTTCCAATTCACATACATAGTTCGAATGCCCCAGCAAAACCCGATAGACATTCACCTCGCCGCGTTTCTCTCTGTAGCTTTTCAGTTTATTTCAATTCTGTTCTATTCTGCTCTGTTGTTTGTTCATAACCCATTTTCTTTGTGCTCTCTCTCCATCTCTCTCTCTCTCTCTCTCTCTCTCTCTCTCTTTCCTCTTCGTGCAACGCTTCGAGGCAACATTTAATTGATCGGATTCACTTTGATTGATCGGATCGTCGCTGTTGATAATGGTACCGTTAATTTGGTAAATTATTTTGCATTTAGAAGCAAAAGCAATCCATTTTCATTGTGCCATCGATCGCGATGATGATATCCATAATGATCATTACGATGATGCCACCGCGGCCGCGAGTTTACTATAAACTTGTAATTCAGTTAAGGTTAATGGGTGACGGGCATATAAAACTATAGCAAATGGAACTGAGCCGGGCTGGGGCCTACAGCCGGTGCTCCATGTGCTTTTGTGTTGTTGTGTGCGTGAGGCAAGTCGTGGCAGGCAAACAGAGTAGAAATAAATTCTATAGAAACTTAGGAATGTTCGTTATAATCGAATTTCTAAAAATAAATATTATTTTGGCTAAAAAAGAAAAAGGTTTTACAGTTCTTACAGATGATATCATCTTGCAGAAGTAAAGAGCGAAAAAAAGATTAAAAATTATACAAAAAGTACTCGAACATATAAGACAAATACCACAAAATACCACAAAGCCAAGAAATATTACTAAGATATACTAAATATACTACGGTATATTCGAATTCGAAATTCGAAAAAATGAAGTATATTTCTATATATCTGATCGATTTCTTAATAGAAAAGAAATAGCATTTTACATTAGGAAGAAAACAAACCAAGAATGCTTAAGTCAGGATAGATACTATACGTAATTCTCGATATAATAAATACAAATTTAAGATAATAGTAAAATATAAAAGAAAAATACGGAAAATAGCAACAAGAAAAGTATTCCAATCTTTAAAGAAAGTAACCATCCATTGACAACACATGACAACCCAAAGCCAAAACATAAAAAGAAGCAAGATATCCACGTTTTCATTCATTGTCGGGCTGCCAGTTAATAACCCGCTGTCAGATCCTGTGCATGAGACATGCGAATAAACCGCATTTTATGCCCAGCTCTCGATGATCCACTTGGTGCACAGACCCCACCCCCTTCGTTGCGAGACAAAAAAAAAAAAAAACAAGAGTACCGTTTTGTCGCCTGAGTGACACAGTATCGTGATTTCGAAAACGAAAACCGAGCATCGGGTTAAGCAACACGCAAATGGAGGTCAACCTCATAATTCAATTAGGAACCTGCAGCGGTGTCACTGCAGGCCGTGCCTCAAAAATTCCGACCCACTGTGCGTGGGCCAAAACAAAAGAAGAAGAAGAAAGAAAAAAAAAATCCAATTTTTATAAATTTATTTTCCGCTTGCTGTGCACATTTTTTTCTCCGTCTTTTATTTTTTTCTTCATCTTTTCTTTTTTTTGCCGGCCATGTAAATCGACATCGACGACGATCAAAGTTAAATTTCTGTTTGTTTAAGCCTTCACTTTTTCTGCGGCTCAGACCGTAGACCGGAGACCGGAGACTGGAACTGTGGGCCAGAGTGAGTCAGCGCCAGTGCGATTGGAATTCTGCGCGCTTTGAGGATTTATTAACAAGAATAATAAAAAACCGAAACAGAAACAGAAACAAACCCAGACACAGCGAGAAGAGCCGGCAGCGTTAAACCGGTTGGCAAACTTTTATTCGTTGGCAATACCCTGTAGTTTTTCGACTGGAAAATGGGCATGCCAGACTACATGTAGAAATTCTTTTAATACATAAAATATGTTGACAAACTAATACAATGCCAATGTCATCAGTCATTAGTTTTCGATTACTTGCATATCGATAATTTAACAAGTTTCAATCATCGATAGTTGGCAAATGAACAATCGGTACTGTCGATATTTCTTCATAAGCTGTCATTATACTATTTAATTATATTTTAATTATATATATATGCTACAGCAGCTAATTAAAGGGTAACATATAAGTCTAGCACATGTAGTAGAAAATTCTTAAATGTTTTTTATATTTTTGTTCCTTCAATGCGAGTTTTAGGTTGAAGTTTAAGTTGAGTTGAGTTTTTGGATAGCTTACCTGTATAGAGCCGGCGACTGATGCGGAACTGAAGCTGGCATTGCTCGCCGCATCCGATACGGAGAGGGGCGTGAATTGCTGTTGCCTTCGCTGCGACTGTGACTGTGACTGCGACTGTGACTGCGCCTGAATTGCATCCTTTGAGCCGTTCTTGAGTGCGGGCAGCAACAGCTTGGACACAGACAGCTTATCCGCTTGCCCATTGCTGTTGTGGCTGTTGCCATTGGCGTTGTCCATTTTGGAGTTCTCCAGTGGCATTGTCGCCGTCGTCGTCGTCGTCGACGTCGCGGTTGCTGTTGCCATCGCCGACGCAGTTGTTGTTGCTGTTGCTGTTGCTGTCGTCGTGGCTGAGCTCTGCTGATGATTTCCGTTTTCTTTATGATTTCGCATTTTCATTTAAGTAATTGCTGCTGGGATTTTGGAAGTTTTCGTTGCGTCTCGTTTGGTGTTTGGTGTTTTTTTTTTTTTGTGTTGTTGCAGCGATTATTACTATTATGATTATTATGTGAATGTTGAAATTGTTTTAACACCTTGTTGCCAGCATTTTGGCGACTCTAAGAAAAAGATCACGCGATTCAACAAAATAAAAAAAAATATATATATATACATATATATATATATAATGGCACACATTTCACTTTTAACTTTGTAGCATTTGTTAAATTATTATTTCTCATTTCGTCTGGCAACACATTTTTTTCATTTTTTTTTTTTTTTTTTTTGCTGCTGCACTTTTTCTTATCGTTGGCCGTTGCGCATCTCTGGAATGCAGCCCCAAGAGCTGGCCAAACAGCTAGCGAGAGCCAAAGAGTGGCAACAAATTGAATCGATTGCTTTGGCCAAGTTATTTATTGTTGCTGCTGCTGTTGCTGCTGTTGCTGAGTTATTTGGGTTTTTGTGTAATATGCGGCCGCGTATTATGTATTTGCTTCGATGCATTTGTGTGAAAAGTGAACCAGGTTTACATAACATTGACCCAAGAGGGCAGACGCTGACAGACAGAGCACACACCTCCCCCCCCCCCTCTCCCACCATCCCACCTTGTTCCCGCAGCCAGCTAAGCCAATAAACAAGTTTTTTATACATATATAAGTGTATATATTTTTTCAAATGCGATTTGTTTGCCAACTGCATTTCGGTTACGTTTCGTTGCCCACGCATCGCAGCAGTTCCGTCTACCTATGCCCCAACCCTCACCCCCCCTTCTCTTCTGCGCTTACCTTTGGCAAATGTCAAGCTGGTCATTTGGCCGTCCATGTCAAATGGGCGCCCATCTTGTGTATGGTTTCTATGCAAATTGCTGTCCATTAATGCCCGAGCAACTGCACCGTAAACCTCAAGTGTTTAATGCATAATTATGAGGCTGCGTTAGCGGGCGCCCAAGAACTGGAACCACGGGCAAATACTATATGCTGGCAGAGAGACAGCAAATATTGTCAAGACTACAAAACTGGATTCTAAGGCACCGTTGAAAAAACTGCAGCCACAAAAGCCAGACCAAGTCAAGTCGGGCTACGCTAGGCTAAGCTAGGCTGCGACTGGGCCTAGTTAGATGGCCAAGAAGGAAGCCAGTTTGAGGGGGCAAAGTACGAGACGGCGCAGATAAATCTGCGACATACGAGTGCCTGGCTGCCTGGCTGCCTGACTGCCTGTTAGCCTGGCTAACTGCCTGCTAGCCAGCCTGACTGTGCAGTAAGTGCAATGACATTGCAATCGCAGGCTGCAACTGCAAATGCTCCTGTCGCCAGTTTTGTGCCCAGCGGCGTTGCTGTGTGAAAGCTGCTGCCCAAAACAGACAACAACAATAACAACAAACAAACAAACAAAAAAAAAAGAGCAGCAGCTAAGAAATACGTTAATTATGGCCCCAAGGAGCTGAGCGGAACTTCTGCCACGCAACGGACGCAGCCGCTGGCCATTTTCGAGCTCTAATCGAGCCGATTTTTGGGCACTAGACGACAACATTGTCGACAGCTTGTTATTGTTGTTGCTTGTTTCGCTCTTTTTTTATTATTAATTTTTGGTTTTAGGTTGTTGTTGCTGTTGTTGTTTTTATTGCGCTAAAAGCGAAATTAGACACTTTTGCTGGACTGTGCGGATTTTGGCCAACAGCGACACATGCGAAATGCAAAATGACAGTTTTAGCGTTAAAAATGCGGAAAAACATGGCTAAACACTGGCGCCAGCGAAATGGGCACAGAGCACCCAGTTCCCAGCTGCAAGACGACAGCACAAGACGGAACACGCCGGCGTCCCCCCACCCCTTTGCCACCCCACGTCAGCGTCACACCCAAGCGAACGGGTTTATATGGTATAGACTGCTTATGAATATCAGTAGTCCAATAAATTCCACACAAGCGAGGTCAAAAACAGGCTGCGGCACTAATCAGACGACAACGACGACGACGACGACGTCGACGTGTGTCTTACATAGATGAGTGAAACGAACGATCACTTTCCAGGCATCTCTTATAGATCTGTATGTGAGCTGGCTTTGAAGATTGTTGATCCTAAACAGGAAATTTTATAATAGATTGATTTAAAATATGTGCCTGCTTTATACTTAGTATGTATTGTGGGAATCAAGAACCAGCTGTGCGATAGAGATCATGTCTCTATTATTCACAATTAAGATTCTCAATCTCTCTAAGCGGAATTTGTAGCAGATCGATTTAAATTTTAAGTTTAATGCTCATGCTTTTGGAACAAATAACTAATTTGGGTGTCAAGCAATCACAGACTTAAGATAAAGTGACTAAGCTGAAGCTTAAAATCAATTGAAAACTATTTGATCTGATATAATATTATAAACTTGACCAAGGTTGGTAATCCCAGCTGAAAAAAACCTAAGAGATGTTCTTAATAATGGCAATTAGATATCGATTTTTATCGATCTGGTGGAAACGGGACAATTTATCGCATATCGGAAACAAACTCGTAACACGCGGGCAATAGAAGGACCTACGTTTAAAATTTCAAGACTCTAGCTCTGATAAGTTCCGAGTTTCGGATGGACAGAATATTTTTATAGGCTCACAAATATTTGGGTTAAATTTAATGATACAAAGAAAAAAAGCAGTTGTTGAATATTGGGGCGCTTGCTAAATTCTGAGTTAAACTGAGAACCGGAAAAAAATTGTAGAAATTAAACATAATTTTGTTGTTCATAATTCCATAAAAGATGTTCAACACGATTTGCAGTTCATGATTCGTATCTTTTTTTTTTTGCCAGAAACTAACTGATGAAAGAAATGATGAAAGACTAAATTGAAAATATTCATTAGATTTATAAACAAATGCATAAGAAATGGTTCATATTTTCTAAGTATACTTCATATTTAGAGAACTTTTAAGTCCAACGAGTTTTTGCATTAAAAAATGTTGTGCTCTGAGAAGTCTGCGTGAAATTATATTTTGTCACAGCAGCTCAAAGATTTCTCATAAGCACTTAAATACCCGACTTTGTGGTATTAGCACCCGTGTCATTTCCAGGGGCTTATCAGCAGTAGATTTTTTCAGCTATGCCGCTGCGCCAGGGTTGTAGCCGCTAAATAAGAGTTGTCACAGATTGAGTTGCCCGATAAAGATATAGCTGTCCCTGAACTGTGACTGTCATAAATTCCGCTCAAATTGCTGTAGTGTCAGCTACTAACAAGCGTAACAAAGTGCTTGACAACAACAACAACAACAACAACAATAAGAACAACAACGGCGACAACTGCAACAACATGAATGAAACTGTTTTACCTGCCCGCTTATGTTGTGATTAGCTTTTACCTGAGCTGTGTGAGCTGTGTGTGTTTGCATTTAGCTGCAAGGTTTTGGCCCCGTTGTAGCTCTTGCTGCGATTCATTATAATTTTTGTCAATTCTCACAGGTAACGCGCGCAACAGCAGCTGACAAAGGTGAAGATCGCATGGCGCTGAGACATTCACACAGGGCGAACAGCAACAGCAACATCAACAACAACAACAACAAGACGCATAAATTTACAATTAAATTTAATTCGTTCGCTGGATTTCCGCAAAAAGCAGCAGCAACAGCCGCAGCAGCAAAAAGGGCTCCCAACAACAATCAACAATTGTTGCAGTGCAATTGCAATTGCAGTCAGCGCTTGTGGCAAGTTCAACGTCTTCTTTAGTGCTTGCCGCGCTTCGCTTGCAGCTAAAATAAAACAGCGCAAAAAATGGCTATGCGATTCCCAAGCGCGCTTCTTGGTAGCGGCAACAGCACCCGCACACACACACACACACACCTGCACACACACACATGCTTCGCCCTGTTGCCTGGCATTATTCATCCTCATTGCCACAAGAGGCCAAACCAAAACCTCAGCTCATTTTGGTCTCTACGGTTTTTCAGGCCCTGTCAACAGCCACGGCCCCAGTTTGTATCTCAGCCTCCGTTTGGGCTTTAGTTTTTAGCTACCTAGCGCTCGAGTTTAGATTTCAGATACTTTATTTTTCGGATACGCCCGCAGCAGTTGCGCATTGTTCTCGCGATTTACTTCCGCCTTGAGGACAGCGGGCAGCGCAGCGCAGCGGGCAGGATGTGAAGGTCGTTGTCGCAAGGTCGTCGCGTTTTGCTTATCACCTGAGCCGAGCGTGAACCAAAAATAAAACACAAAAAAAAAAAAAAAAGAAACGAAACGAAACGAAACGAGACAACAACACACACTCACTAAATATCTAGTAGGTGTGTGTATCTATGTGCCACAAATATTTGCACAGCACATTCCAAGCACTTTGGCAAAGCAAATACAAATTGTAAAACGTGCAACGTAACGGGAGCAAAAACGAAAGAAGCGCAAAAGAGCGAGAGAAGTGCATTTTTGAAATATGAAATAATCACAATGAAAACTAGTTAGGGAATACTTATGGCCAAGTGGCCATATAAGTATACATACATATATGCCAGCCACATGTGTGAACAATATTTAAACAATTATATCTGGACAAAGTTGAAAAACTATAGAGATTCTAAAAGCAGACTAACACTTGATATATCTATAAGCCAAAATAAGTATCTATTTATTTAGGTATTTATTTATCAACGCAGCTCATCAAATTAGCCAAAAACAGATTACGTGCGACTAAAAACTTTGTATCTTATCAAGAGTTAAACTAAAATGTTGCGGAATTCGAGGTCTTCAAATGGGTTTCATCTAAAAGAATTTAATAATTCAGAAACATAAAAAAAGAATTAATATAAATACATGTAGATCAATTGATAGCTTGACATCTAACCTGGGAGAAGTTTCCCAAGAACACATTTGGAACACATTGTGATTGGGTTTCCTAAGAAAGATTGAAATGCATTTGAAGTACCGAATCTGACTAGCTTCTGATATATAAAATGAGTCTTATTATTATTATTTTGGAATTAATTCACGTGAATCAATAATAGATCAGTTATCTCAGTCATAAGATCTCCAATTTACTTCATAAAAAGTATTAGTTCAGATTTAACTGCAAACGCAGAATTTGCCGAGCATTTATAGAGTTTGTGAAGATTGGAATAAAGTTAAGTTTGGATAGATTCAGATTAGCTAAACTTTGGACACATAACCTTAAAGAAGGAAAAGATATCTATCAATAAAACAGTATCCCCTCTTGACAATTCAACAATCTGTTCAGATTTTACTTTAAGTCCAGCAGCTGTCGTCCATTTAGCCTAAATTTATAGAGTTTACGAAGATATAGATCAAACCAAGCAAAATGTTGTTAGACCCAACAGTTTATAAGGATTGGACTTAGTCCAAGGTCGATCAACAATTATATACTAGTAAAAAGTTGGATATACAACCTTAGGGAAAGAAATGAGGAAAGAGTTCCATATCGATTCCTAAATATAGTTTTCCCACTTTACAGTTTTCAGAGTTTGCTCGAAATCTTGCGGCACGAGTAATGGGAAATTCATGATGATATTGTTATTTCTGAGGAACTTTTGAGCTCGCCGTAATTCGGTTAGTTCAACTGTCTGTTTGCTATTTGCTTAACTGTTCAGTCATTTGGGCGCAGAAAAATGTTGTGCGCAATTTGTTAAAAATGTTATTGTTGGTTTTTTGTTTTTTTTTTATCCATTGTTATTTGCTGGTTTTCGGGAAAATTACCTTAAACTTGTGAAGAATAATATGTGCTGTTAAGGAAATCAACAAGCGATTTTATATTGTTTTTGTTTTTGTTTTTAATATCTGAACAATTTACAATGACAACGCGAAGAGTAGAAACGCACTCGAAATACTTGAATTGCCGTTGATGTTCGTTTGTTATTTCTGCTGTTTGCACTACTTAGTTCTGACAGATAAGATTAAAATTCGACTTAGCCAGTCTCTGTGGATGATAAGATAAACGAGAGCCTTTGCTCCATACGCACGCAGCAAAAAAAAAAAAAAAAACAAAAAGGAATGAATAAGAAGAAAACTGGTTGCCAATGATGCCTGACAGACAGACAGACAGACACAATCCGTCAGATACAAATGCACAGTAAAAGCTCTCTTGAGGCGTTTGTCGAAAAACAAACAAAGGCTACAAGATATTCCTTAGAGAAAGAAAACTTCTCGACTCTCGCAAGTTTTTCCAGCTGATATTCCACTTGAAAGTGCGAAAGTAAGCAAAGAGCTTGGAACTTGAAGATGTCTTCACTGTACGCAATCCGTCAGATACAGTTGCACGGCAAGGTCGCTGCATGCAACAATGTTGTTGCCTTTAATTGAAACGTTGTAGCTTAATTTATAATTCAATCAATCTCTCATGCACACATTTCTGCCGCGTTGCAGTGTATTGAACCCATCGGCAGCCAAGCAAACTCCCCCCGGGCTCCCCCGGCCTGTCACGCCCACCCCCAACACACACGCACACTAAAGCAAACATGTTTGTTCTGATATTGTTTTGTAGTATTTGTTGCTAGGTCTGCCGGCCGCCTCTGTCTGTGACAGTTGATAAGTCCGTCACTTCGAACTCCGATTTCGTCAATGCCCCATTACGTGGCAACTGAATGCCAGGTAATGCCGCTCACTTTTTTGTGGCTGGCGGGATTTACATTGCGGTTGTAAGTATTTTTTTTTTTTTTATCAGACGTTATCAGCAACTGAAATCGGCGCAATACTTTCAGTTAAGCTACATGTAAATTTTCCACAAAATTTAAACAGTTTATCAGGCTTTGTGGAAATGTAGATTAAGTGCGTGACACGTGTTCCGGGCTTAAATAGATCTTAAATAGCTCAAATTTGGTTGGGAATGCAAATAAATAAAGCTGACGTTTTGCCAACTTCTGCAAAAATAATAACAAAAGGGGCATAAGTAAAAAGTTTCGAAGTAAAATTCTCTATAAATATAATGATAGTAGGATTTCATTCAGAAATTCTTTTTCTATATAAAAGTAACAATTATTTAAGTTAATGTTACTTAATTTATTTCTAAAGTTTTCTTGAAGACCCAACTGCTTAAATGCTTCTATAACTTTATTAATTCTACCTATATCTACCCATATATCTTTTTGCCTATATCTTTATCAGGTTATCATTTGAATGTGATTTATGTACATTTTAAACTTAATTTTCTAGCTTTGGCTACATTTTGTTAGTTCTGTATTTTAGCCCGCATCGTTTGTGACCCATTGCACATCTATCTAGTACCTAGTCTAGCACCTGGCGCTACCTCTGCTCCGATTTACACAGCTCTTACACTCGTTATGTCATCGACTTCTTTGTTGAGTTTTGTTGGCGTTTTATCAGCTCTACATGTTTTTGGTCCATTTAAGCTAAAAAAAAAAAAAAAAACTGACCCGATGCAAATAATTTTCAGTGTGCATCACTTTGGTTCTCACTTTGTTTCTTCTACGGCTTCTGCTGTTTCTTGGTTATGTTTTTTGTTTTTTGTTGTTGTTTTTGTTTTTGTTTTCCTGAACATGTCTCGCGTCTGGCGCCAATTAAAATAATCCAAAACACGTACTGGCCGCCTTTGTTATGGGGCTGTGTGCAAATATGTGTATGCTTTATATGGCTGGGAAGAGTTTTCCCAAGTGCAACTGCCAATGGGGCGGCGGCAGCAGCAGCTGCTCTCCTCAGTCAGTGCTCCGCCTTGGCCGCTGCCTCTTCTTCTTCTGCTTGGAGTTGCAGTTGAAGCGCGGAAAATGGCAAAATGCAGCCGCCAAAAACTGGTCTGCCTTAGGAAAATGTTGCTTGTGCGAGGGGAGGGTGGGGCGCACAACAACAACAACAAAAAATATCAGCCTGAGCAAAACTTGTTGGCCTCAAAGCACAAGATGGAGTTGGCGAAGAAGAAGAAGAAGCAGCCGCAGCAGCAGCAGAAGCTTCTTGCCACCCGCTAGATGAGGGCGAAGAATAAGAAGAAGAAGACGCAGCAAAAGCAGTTTTGTTGTAAGCGGAAGAAATGTGCACGTTGAAGGCTGTGCTGCACTCTTTTTTATAGTTTTATTATACAATTATTAAATTTTTTATTTTCTTTTTATATGTTTTGTTTATTTTTGCTGAATTTTGTAATTTTTCAGGCACATTTTACACGCCGCGCTTTTGTGCTAAATATGCCGTTTCGTGTTGCGGCCGCTCTTGCAGTTGTTGTTGTTGCTTTTGTTGTTGTTGCACTTTTGTTTGTTAGCGCGACGCGTGATGGTCGCCGCTGCTTCACTTTGCACACACACACACACACGCTCATGTAACAGCACACACACACAAACACACACACAGGCTGGCTGCTTAAGAGTTGTCGTCAATTATTGAACCGAATGTAAACAGAGAATCGAATATTAATTTTTCTATATTAATTTTCATTGAATTAATTGCATGGTGCGCTCAGACACACAGGCACGCATACACACCAGCTAGACACACAGACACGTAACGCGCGGCCAATGAACGCGGCATGTACTTTTTTGCTTGCTAACTGCACGATACGAGAGCCAAAAGTGGACTGACACTGGAGACAGAGGCACGATCAGGCAAAGCTCACGGCAGCAGCGGCTAGTCAGAGTCAGAGTCCAACACCTACACATGCACACACTGAGACACGCTCTCGCAGCGGCAATTGCGAAAATGTTTTCTTCGGCCACGCAAGCCGAAAGCAGCGCACGAGAAAGAGAGTGAGAGAGAGAGAGAGAGAGAGCGAGTAGCAACACATACAAAAACAAATGTTAAGTCTGATTTACCTGCGCTGCGCTGGCTGTTAAAAACCCCAGTGGAAATTTGAACGCTGCTCTCAATATGCTGGACATGAGTGGCAATTCCATTTGGTAAAAACGTTTTCTAATGGGGGTCAGTCTTATCATAGAGGCCTGCCTGCAGAGAGCAGAGCAAACCAATAGCAATAGCAAAAGCAACAAAAACAGGTATTTTTTTTTTTTATTGAAAGTCACTCAGTATATCTCAGCTGTCGGTGAGCGCGCCTGCAATAGAGCTGCTGAGAGTGTGCGAGAGAGGCATCTAACATGCACACACACACACACACACACAAACAAGCACAAGCATACACGTACACACATGCACTGGCAGTCAAGCACTCGCTCGCTCGCTCGCCACTTAATCAGGCATTGGACAGAACCTGTTGCGCGTGCTATGCGTCCAGTTCTTGCTAAAGAACAACAAGAACAAGCACGACAACGAGAACCTGTTGCGGCGACTGCGACGCTGGCAGCGGCAACAGCAACAGCAACAGCAATAGCGGCTATGGCTGCACTTAGCCAAAATTCGTGCGGACAAAAGGCAAACAAAGAAAGTAAAGACTAAAACAAAAAGAAACGCAGCAAGAAGCGGCAAAGCAAAATGAAGGAAACGTTGATAAGCAAGGCCGAGCTAAGGCTGAGCTGTTGCTGCTGCTGCTGCTGCTGCTGCTGCTGCGTCGCTGCACTTCAAAGTTGATTTATGTATGTGCTGCTTCTTCTTATTGTTGCCGTTTGTTGCCGTTTGTTGCCGTTTGTTGTTGTTGTTGCTGTTGGCACTTTTGATTTTCAGCGCAAGTCTCTTCCAATTAAGCAAAAGCAAATGAAAAAGAAGAAGATCGACCACCAACGTCGTGGCACAGCATACAAATTGATTTAGACCAATATTTGTGCCCAATTATGATTATGGCCAGTCTCCTTTGGCCGTGTCAACCAGGTGCTAATGAGCCCATTCTGTGGCATTTAATTTATGTATGTATGCATGTGCCATGCTTATAAGGCATAATTGCCATGCGGCTGCAGCATGTCGCCGCTGCCGTAACGGTACAAGCGAAAGGTGGCAACATGCAAATTGACACAATAAAAATAGAAAAAAAAAATGTATAAAAAACATCAACGCAAAAAATAAAACACAATACAAAGCCCAAATATCAACAATAATCAACGGTTCTCGGCTAGTTCTCAACTTTCGTTTGCCATTCTCACAGTTCATTAACCGATTTTAAATGATAAAGGCCAAAAGCACGCGCGCTCGTTAGATGCCATGCACTGGGCCTAAAGTTCACCAGCCAGCCCGCGGTAGTTTTGTGGCTAAACATGTCTCGCTGAGATCAGCAACTCCACGGCCTGTGGTCACACAGTTAATGCCAACTATACGCACACGGGTTCGCGCCTCGCACGGAGCTCCTCTCCAATTAATCATCACGATTTCCTTTTTTTTTTTTGTTTTTTTTTTTGGTGGGCGCACACATTTGTTTATTTGTGCGGTTTGCAAAACAAAAACAAGTTTACCGCTGGCCCTGCTCCGGGTAAGAGAAGGAGAAGGCAGCATGGAATGTGCCGCGACTATCAATCAGTTATTGTCTATTGTCCGTTGCCATTACCAAATCCGTATTAGTAGCTCTTACAGCTGACCCAAACTGGCTTGACTTTCCATTGGAAAAGCAACCCCCCCCTTAGACCAGGCAAACAGCTGCTGGCCAAGCTGAAGGTTACGCTGCCGGCAGCGTGGGTGGGAGGAGGTGCGTATGCGGGTGCATTCGCTGTTTAAGCATTCAGGTGCGAAACGCTGGCAAACCGAAACACACCCAGTTCCAGTTGCTGATATCAAATCAAAGGCATTTTGACGTGGGAAACGCTACGGTCAAAATCAGAGCTCAGAGCCCTTTTGAGCATGTTGTATAATTTGTTTGCAATTGTTGTCAGGCAGCTGCCACGTTGCATTTCAATTGAGCGCCTCCGATGACGTCATCAGCTGGCAACGCTCCATTGCTCCATATGCTGAAAATTTGCATGCAACATGCGGCGAGCAGCCGCAGAGACTGCCCGGCATGCCTTTGGTATTATGACACACACACACATGTATCTGTTCAGCTCTTAGATAAAGATGCTGCAGTTTTTCTTTGATATTCAAAATGCAACAAAAGGCCGCCCTCCCGCCACGCGCCACGTTGGCGCGGGGCGACATTTTGGACAAACGAAACGGAGGCGCACAGTTCCGCGATGATGTAAGAAATCGAATCAAAAAAAAAAAGAAACATAGATGCAGCGGGTGACCCGAATCTACTTAAAATATATTTTTATGTACGTTTAGGTACAGTGAAAGCTCCCTCAAGCGAACAACAGCTTGTGGTACATAATAGGTTAAGATATGTCGTGGAAATAAATTCATAATTATTTTTTATGATAAAAAAAAAAGATTTAAAAGTAAATATATTATTATATTTATAACTTATACTGTTGTTCGTGTCAGGAATGCTTTTTGCACAGAATAATTGTTCAAGCAAAAAATAGTTGTTTGTCCGTTTTAGTGGAGCGTTCACTGTACATATTTGAATTATATTTATATGGCAAGAGGAGATGTGAGACATCATTTTTGGACTGCGACCGTCCTCTGGCCTGGCGGCATTTTGTGACTCTATCTGGCCGCGGGCTACAGTCAGTCAGTCAGTCAGTCAGTCAGTCGGTTCGTCTAATTGGATTTGCGCGCTTGTGCGTAACTATAAATCACAGCGAGTGCGCGCCAACGGGGTGTTTGAAGCAGGGACAACCGGTTTGGTTTGGATAGCCAAGTCACCCGCTTATAAACAAAACTGCAGAGCGCCGAATCCCATAAAGCTTTTCGACTATTTGTTAAGTGACCAAAACGGTAACAACAACAACAACAACAACAACAAGAAGAAACGGCAGCATTTCTCGAGCCTTTACTTGGCTCATAAACAATATGAAGAACAACAATTATGCTGCTGCATAAAACTAGAGAAAAAAACAAAATAGAATAGCAGCTTACGCAACTTGGCCTATAAGCTGGCGGGGTTTAGTGCTGAGCAACGTTTTTATGTCCAAATGCCATGTAAAACAGTCGTGTGAAATTTATTAATGGCACCCCACAAAAAAAATAAAAAATAAACGGCATCCACTTGCTCGATTCATAATTCTTGTTAGAAAGGCGTCTGTCTGGTCTTTTTGGGATCTTGTAAAAATGTGACATTCCTGGAAATTGCCCACTCGGCACTTGTAATATGCTGTAAGCTGATTTATTTTGGCCCACCCAAAGTTGTAAGCGGATGTTGTAAGCAGGCAGTTGCAAATCTAAACGCACACACACACACACTTGAAGTTGTACGTACAATTTGTTCTAGCGAAAAGTGAGAGAAAAAGGCCCCAAACATGAAAACATTAAGCAAAACCAGGCATTTTGCTGTTTCTGCCTGTTTTGTCGTATTTTTTTTTCTCTTCTTTTTTTTTGCGTGTGTGGTCTCAAGCCCAAGTTCATGGCTTGAACTTTGCCAGGCAACTTGTTTGCGTAGCGGCTGTCGTTTCCTGCAATTTATTAAATTTCATACAAAGGCAAGGACATTGCCTGGGCTATTCAATTACCAACAAAAAATGCAAATGCCAGGCTTGAGTATGGAAAGTTGATACGCTGACACATGAGTTGCGATTGCCGCCACATTTCAAAAAGTACTCACAGAAAAGTACTCATTAACCAGGTGGCAACGCTGTGCCGCCCGCAGCTGATTTCAATGGAGATAAAAAAAAACATACATATCTGTTGATTGCCTTATTGAAAACAAAGAAAACAATATTGCACCGAACTCTGTGAAAAATGTGAAAAGCTGAACTGAGACACGCCCATACCAGACCAGCTATACACAATGCATACGGCCCAGGCACGGAATAAAATATTCAAAAGCTGGTCAGGCATCAGCGAGGTGTCCATCATCAAGGAGGTGGCCACCAAGGGCGAGCACATCGATCTGTGCATGGAATATTGGGCTGGCAAGCGAAAGATACCAGTTCAAGAATACAGACATTACTTTTACGATGTGGTACAGGCCTATGTGCAGCGACTGCTGTCCGAGCGGCTCGTCTGCAAGGCGGACAACGTGCTGCACAATGTGGAGCGGGATGTCAAGTGCTTCTTCTATCAATATGCCTGCGAATGCGACGATGCGGATCTGAGCGAGTTTGTGTTGGATCATTTGCGCTGTCGTGAGCCGCAGCTGTTTGAGCAGGAACAGCCCGTCCTGGCGTATTACTGGTCCCTGGTGCAGCAGCTGCGCGAGTGCAGCGATCTGCTGGCCCGGCACCAGGCGCTGTTGCCACGAGTTCACATCGAGGCGTTGATGACGCTGCCCGAGCAAACGCTGCAGCTGCTCATTGTTGAACTTTACTTTGCCAATGGCAATGAATCACTGCTGCCGGAGCTGAACAAGCAGCTGGTGTGGCAGCATCTGGTAGACACCGGACGTTTGGACAGACTGCGTCGCTGGTGCTGGTGCCAGGAGGCTGCGGCAGGCACAGCTGACTTGCGGCCACTGGAGCAGGCCTATGCACGCTGGAAGATCGAGCCACTCATGTATGAATATGCCCTGGAGCACTTGCAGCAGCCATGTGAGCCGCTGCGCAATTACTTTGCCCGCGCTGGCTACTTTTTTTCAGCTGAATCCTCGGACATGTCCACGCTGCTGCGTCGCCTGTGCACAATGCAGTGCCTGGAGCAGCACACGGAACTGCTCAGTCGCCAGCCACTGGCGCGTCAT